TAGTCCTACTAGAATCTAGAATGTTATCTTGGCATAACCCAACAAATCAACCCATCAAATGAGTCGGATTTTTAGATCCAATGATTTGACCCAAGACTTAAGTATTTGGGTGAGATACTCAAAGTTTTGAATTCTATCATCATCATAAACTTCATCATAAACTTCATCAAAAAGTGATCTGATGGTCGCATGTATCATTTGAGGGGGTGGAATGTTCACTTGGTCTAAGGATCAAATCTCTGGCTGTTAACAACTAATTCATACTAATTTCCTAATCATTACCCTTGTCAAAAAAAAAAAAAAAACCCATCAAATGGTAGCAAGGGTAGATCCATCTTTTAAAAAAATATAAGAACAAATTAATTTTTTTTAAATTATAAATTTAAATAAATTATTTATTTTTTAACATGTGATATTAAATTTTTATTAAAAAATATTTATGTGAAAAATAGAATTTTAATGTCACACGTGTTAGGGGGACGAATCCCACCTATCGCTTTAGGTGTATTACCTTGAACGTTAGGGTTTATTGTTTATTTGTTTCTCAGGTGAAGCCTCTCCAAAGGTGAACCCTGGATCTTCCTTAAGAAACTTTGCAGGTGACCCCGAATCCCCCTAACAACACAATAAAAAATGAGTAATTTGTTTTAATTTATAATTTTAAAAAATAATTTATCTTTATATTTTTTTATGAAATAAATCTACTCTAACTCTTATTTGAGAGGTGGAATTAAGGGTTTTATCGAGTTATCTTACTCCCAAAACCTTATCATCCTTTGTCTCGAAAATATATTCAAGATGAAAAACCCCCTGAGTTGCCTCTGAGTGTCATCCACTAATGGAATAGATGTAGAAGTTGAGGAGGACCCTTCGATTAAATATTGATTAATTCCCAGTGGGGGAACCAATTGTCTTCCACCCGCCAGTGGGGCTAAGGTGGTCTTCACGATTTCTCCTGAAGGTTCCTGCAAATCTGGAGAAAGATGAGGGCTAACGAAAAAGCTGTCTCCAAGCTGCTGTTGAGCAAATTGTATAGCTTCTTCAATTAGATAAAACCCTTTATAGAGTGGTTTTCTAAAATCTCGTATTTGGAACAAGATCTCATCCCACTTCTTATAAACTCCAGGGGTTTTTCCCTTGATTAGAACATAATAATTAAATTTATTATATTTTTTCAAATACTGGGCTAAATTTTTTAAATTGTTCTCAAAAAGGTTCAAATTGCCGAAGCTCTCCTGAATGTTGTTCAGAAGTTGATCAGCAACTGGATCCAAATTGAGACCTTCTGTACAGGACCTAGCTCTAGAGGTGTTGCCTCTATCGCTGGCTTTGCCTGAAGTCGAGCGTCTCATTCTGATCCTGCACAAGAGAAGAATAAACATATCTACTTAGCCAGTCAGCAAGATAATTATCTTTACTCTTAATATGTTCAAATTTTACTTTAAAACCATTTCC